TTCTTTGGGTAAACGGCCTTAAAGCGCTTATATCTGAGTTATGGTTTGAGCGGAATCAAAGGACTTTCGAAGGGAAAAGCCGCTCAGCTTTCGAATGCTGCAGTATAGCTAAGTTCAAAGCCTCACAATGGTGTGCTCTCTCCAATCTCTTTGCAAATTATTCTCCTAGCATGATTTGTTCTAATTGGGAGGCTTTTTTGTGTAATGTTTAAGCTTCATTTATTAAGTTTGGTTTGTTTGTATCTTTTTTTTTTATATATTTTATTTTTCCCTTCTTCACCCCCTTCATTTCACCCCTTCGGGGATTTGTATCTTTGAACAATTTTTGTTCCTTTTCATTTATCAATGAAAAGTTCGTTTCTTGTTCAAAAAATATCCCTTCGTATATTGACGTTAATGTAGAAGCAGAACAAATGGCAGAACACATTGTTCAGTTACATCAAGAAGTTCGGGATCATATGGAAGCAGCTAATTCAAAATACAAAAGTCAGGCGGATACTAAAAGGAGACAACATGATTTCAAAGAAGGAGATCTAGTGATGATTTATCTACGAAAGGGATGATTTCCACCAGGGAAATTCAGCAAGCTCAATAAAAAGAGAATAGATCCTTTTTCTATCCTACAAAAGTGTGGACCGAATGCCTTTAAAATCAAGCTACCACCATAATACAGCATCAACCCCATCTTCAACGTAGCTGATTTGACACTCTATGAAGCACTGGACAGTTTTTCTTTAGCTACATAACTCGGGGTTGAGTTTAATTCTTTGGGGGGGAGAATTCTGATGTAGTCTTATAGCTGTATTTCTTTAAGTTCGGTAGTTTTAAATCTTAATTGTTAGTTATAAGCTGTTAGTTGATTAAAAGCCTAACGGCTAGCTTATGTCTGAGGCTCCTTCTCCTATAAATAGGAATCCTCCTCATCGTTTGTTGTCATGGCTACTCTTATCCAATAAGATCCCTCAATTGTGTACACCACTTAACTAAGTTCAAAGCTTCTTAGTGACATTCCTTCTCCTCCTTGTTCAAGAATTACTCTCCCGGATTGATTAGTGATTCTTGGAACGCTTTTATTTTTCCCTCCTAGTTGTTCAATGTTGCCTTCTTTTTTCTTTTGGTCTTTATTTTTTGTTGGTTTACTCACTTATTTTTAGAGTTTGTATCTTTGAACACTTTCGATTATTTTCATTTATCAATGAAAATTTCATATATTGTTAAAAAATAAGAGGTATTCATGTGCAAGTATATGAAAATATCAGGAAAATAAATACAGGAAAGAAAATAATGTTACATAAATAGAACAAAGATCACAGATTTCAATACATGCTTTAACACTAGTTCAACAAATCAATCAGATTAAATGCATAGTATGAGTGACTCATAACTTTCTGATATCTAGAAACTCTACATTTGATGGGTTCTTCTTGTCAGTTTCTGGTATTAATCACATGTTTTGGCAGATAGGTAAATCAAAAATTTTCTTAAGAGGTAGACTGATGGCTGAACTAGATGCACAGAGAACAAGAATATATGGTGCTGCTGCCGCAACCATACAGAAGCATATCAGAGCTCGAAGTGTTCGTAAAATGTACGTTGCCATGCGAAGAAGTGGCATTCGTGTACAATCATATTGGAGAGGTGAGAACATTATCGCATGATGCCATTTTCTTGTTTATTTTATATTGGCTTTTGATCTGCGAAACTTTAATAAAAGGAAAAACCTTTTGTCTATCCACTACCAGAAAAAATAAAAAAGAAAAATAAAGTGAAGTGTAAATTGATAAGAAAAATAATTCTTACATACTTTCAAAGAGTTGATATAAGAGTAGATTAAGTAGTATCTATGGAGAAAAATCCAAAAAGGAAAAGAAACCCTTATCTATTAGAATAAGGAAATTATTACCTTTTAGAGTAAGGAAACTCTAACCTATTAGAACCTAAATGCAACAGGGAAATAAAAGTAAATAATCGTATAATATAAAATAACAAATATAATTTAACACTGAGAGACGTGTCCAAACTCCAATCTTTGTTTACTCTCAAGGGAACTCTAACCCTTTGTGCCTCCGCCCTTGTGATGGAACTGTAACCCTAAATTCGTCGCCGCCACCCGCCTTTGCCTTCATTGTTTTCCGTCCCTGACGTCCGTCACCTTCTTCGTCGTTCATTGCCGATTCTATCTCCAGCCGCCGTGTCTGACATAATTTTTTCGTCCAAGTTCAGCATTTTGCTCTTTGTGCCGTTGTTCGTCGGTGGGTTCTCTTCGGTGGCCTTTTCTTTGCCGTTAGGGTTACTTGTAGTTACGAATCTGGTTGTCTTCCTCTTGATTCCTTCTGTTCCGTCCTTCATCCTAGGGTTCAATTGTAGTTCTGGATCTGTCTTCCTCCACTGGAATAAGATTCTTCATTCAAGTTCGGATATGGACTTGAGAAGTTGCAGCATTGAAAACAATTACTATTGGATTTGGTGTGACAATGATTGTTTTTTCATCAAAGACTATGAAAATGTTCAGATTCCTCTTCAAGTTTTCTAGCTTCAGTGGCTTGAGAAGACTTGGTGGAGTTGCTACACTTCCCACTTCATTCGAGGTTCCTTATGCATGTCAGGGATGAGAACAGAACTTGTCGACTCCAGAAAAAGCGATTCTTGCACGGCTGGTTTTTGGAATGTGTTGTTTGGCCTTCATCGGGTTGAAGAAAATTCATGTCTATGCCTATTCGGATTAGTAAAAAAGGGTGGGTAACTTTCTGGACTGGCTAAAAGATTTCTTGGTGTATTTCAATGGAAATCCAGTGAAGGAGACCTCCAATTTTTCATATGCAGAGAGGGTTAAGTATAGAGACAACATGATACCGTCCATTGCAATAGTGGATGAGGCATTTGAGAGGAATTGTTCTTTGGTCAAGCAACGAGAATTTGGAAAAGGGAACAACTCTTATGGGGTCAAAAAGGAATCCGAAGTAATGCAAACGTATTGGGATAATGTCACAGTTCTCTCAAGCTTTTGTGCACAACATAGTTGGACGGTAATTCCCTCAAAAGTTTCCTCTCGAAAAATTGTCAAGTCAACCCCTTCTTGGCAGTTTTATTTAGATTTGAAAGTGGAAGGTCCTTGAGCTCTAATTGGCTCAATGGCAAATGGTGCAAGGTAGATGATTTTCACGTGAAAATGGAAAAATGGAATCTTGAACAACATGATAGGAATGAAGTGACAATTTGTTTCGGAGGATTGGTGAAAATTTGTGGCTTACCTTTAGAGCTATGGAATACGCAATGCTTTGAGGCCATTGGAACTCTATTCAGCAGCTTTCATTCAAATCAAGAATTATGTATATGGCTTTATTCCGGCTTCTATTGAGATAATTATGAAAGCAGGAATGTTTGTGATACAAGTCGTTGCCATAAATGAAGCTATCAGGTCATCATTTTTCTTGGTCCAACTCTCCTAGACTTCGTCGATTGCAGATTATCCTAACTTGTTGGACATTCAAAGATTGCAAGCAGCTTTGGTGGATGAAGACTCTCAATTTTGCAAAGAGTTTCCTAATAAGGATAGCTTGACAAAGTGGCTTGCAATTGACCTTTTATATACTCAAACTGCTTCAATTGTCTCAAATTTAGAAAAGGATCTGACAGGACAATTGAGTACTCCTCTGGTAAGAAAAGTTGTGGACGTTGATAAGGATATAGACATTTTTTTGACCCTTCTATTTTCCAAGAAATAAACGCAAAAGCTATTCTGAACCAAAAGTCAAAGGACAACCCTTTTCCACCTGGTATGAAGAATACCAAAAGACTTATTCAGCCCCTTCCTCTTTACTTCTCTCGAAGGAAGCCTAATACTCTTTTTGGAAAGGAATTTGCAAAAGCCTTTGATAGTTGAAGGAGTACAAGTTAACTTGAATAAGATTTTCAACGAGGAACGAGAAGTGGTTGGTAAAATTAGTTCAGACAAACTAAATGTTGTTTCCTTTGGCTCAATCCACTCCATAATGAGGGTTTGACTCATAGGTCATCCTCCGTCAAATCGTTGGATAACGATTTTGAAGATGATGATAAAGCAATTAGTATTAGCATTGAACTATTTTCCAAAGTCAGATATCCCTATTGAGGATTTTTTTGGACAATCATTCGAGGAAGATTTTCATATTTTATTTAATGAGCAAAAAGAAGATGAGAAGTCAGATTTTCCAAAGCAACGACCATTCCTCCCTTTTTTAAAGAAATGAGGATTACTCTTGTCCCATTTGATAGCATTATCTGATTTTACGATTTTTTGTGTAGAATTCTTTGAGTTATAAGTTGGTCGGAAAGTTGAAATGTTATCTCTTACGTTGTAGTTTTTGAAGCTTTACGGTTCCAGTTTGGTTGGTTGGTTGGTAGGTCAGGATTTCAAAGATTCTTTCTAGCTTGTGGGTTGGCAAATGGTGGCTTATCATTGGAGGTTATTTTGAAGATAGAATTGAGGGTTCGTTTTTGGTGATTAGTCCTTGATAGACTTTGTGGAAATGACCTTTTTTTGCTCTGTTTCTAGCATTTCGGCTGGTCGTGGTCGAGTTCCGATGTCCCTAGCTTCTACTTGGCTGTTTTTGGAGTTTGGTCTTTGCTTTTGGTTCTAAGGAAAGTATTTTCCCTCAAGCGATGTGGCTCTGAAGTTTCTTTTGGTCTTCCAAGCTTTGTAGCAAGCAGTTTTCTGAGTTCTGATTTAGAATGCTTTTTATCTTCCCTGAGAAGTTTTCTGAGTTCTATTTGATTGTTTGTTGGCACAAATGGAGTATATATGAGGTTGCGGTCTAACTTCTCTTTTATGAAGTGTCTATCAACTTCAACATACTTGGTTCTATCACGTTGAGCTAGATTATGTGCAATATTTATAGCAGACTTGATTTGAATGAAATAAATTATTTGTATTCCAATGTGAAATTACATAGCTTCTTATATAGAAAGGCTTAATACAAAAAAGGAAACATGAATAAAATAACCATTAATATTTATAGCTAATATTCACAAATAATAAAATATCACTCTCGCTCAAGCTAGTTTAAAGATATCTTCCATTAAGAAATGTTTGTCAATTTCAATATGCTTAGTCCTATCATGTTGAACTGGATCGTGGGCTATGAAGATGACAGCCTTGTTGTTGCAATAAACTTGTATGGGTGCCTTTTGAAAGACTCTCAATTCTTCAAGTAACATTTTTATCCATATCACTTCACAAATACCATGGGCTAAGGCCCTAAATTCTGCTTCAGCACTGCTTCTGGCCACTACATTTTGTTTTTTACTTCACCAAGTAACTAAGTTACCTCTAACAAACGAGCAATAACCAGAAGTAGATATTATATCTATCGTACTTCCTCCATAATCAGCATCAGAATTAAATGGTTATTTTTTTTAACAATATAACTCTTCCTACAGTTCCCTTCAAATATCTTAAAATTCTATAGGCAGCTTCAAAGTGAATTGATCTTGGTAAGTGTATAAATTTGCTTACCATGCTCACTGCAAAAGTAATATATAGACATGTGTGACAAGTAAACGAGTCTTCTCACAAAGCTTTGATATCATTCCTTATCCTTTACTTCTTTTGCAGTTCCAATTTCAAATTAGGTTCAGTTATTAGCATTAGTAGTTATGATTCTTATGATAGAAAAGTCATTGTTGAAGACTCAATTGCTAGCGGTTTTGATGTTTTCTCTGAAGATGGTCTTTCTTCTCTATTCGACGAGGTTGAAGATAAATAAATTTATTGTTTACCGTCTGAAGATGACTCACTGCAAGGTGGAACTCGGGAAGTCCATAAAGGGTTAATATCCTTTCTTGGATTCTTATTAATGGAAAGGTTAACATGACTGAAATTCTCTAAAAGAAATCCCCAAATATGCACATACAACCTTCCATTTGTGTGCAGTGTATGGCTGCTCGTGAATCTCAGATGCACACTTTCTTTTATTGTCCATATGCAGCAGAATGTTGGAAATCTTTGTTCAATCTGTTCAATATTTCTTGGGCGTTGGATGTGGAAGTCTCGAATAGTGTTACTCAGCTGCTGTTTGGCCTATTCCTATCCCCTACAATGAGTCTTCTTTGGGTAAACGGGGTCAAAGCCATCATTTCGGAGCTTTGGTTTGAGAGTAAACAAAGGATTTTTGAGGAAAAAAGAAGACTTTCGGTGGAGTGCTTCAGTTTGGCTAAGTTTAAAGCTTCTCAATGGTGTGCTCTATCCAAACTTTTTGCTCACTATTCTCCTAACATGATTTATATTAATTGGGGGGCTTTCATCTTTCCTATATAGTTTTGTAAAGGATGTTGACTAGTTCTTATCTTTTTGGTATCATGGGTTGTACTTTTTAATTTTTGCTATCTTTTTTCACTCCTTAGGAAGTTTGTATCTTTGAACATTTTATATTCCTTTTCATTAATAAATGAAAAGTTCGTTTCTTGTTCAAAAAAAAAAAAAAGATGACTCATTGCAACAGTTATTCAGCAAATGGTCGGTCCCCAAAGATTTGTCATATTATTTCAACCAAGTGGGCATTACTCTTGTTTCGATAGAGAGAGCTTAACTTCTTTTTCCAAGACGACACGTTGTTTTTAGCTATGTTTCACATTTTTTTTTCGAGGTTTTGGTTTGCTGTTTGTTTGTTAGATTATGTTAAGCTGGAGTTGAATTTGTTGTGGTTGGTTTGGTGGGTTTCTGTCTGGTTTTTTTGTTTGTTTCTGGTTTTTTCTTTTGGGTGCTGTTGTTTTGGTTTTTTTGTTTGGATGGCAGTAGGTTTTTGTTTTTCTCCTTTTGGAGGTTTTATCCTTGAACAGTTTGTATCTTTTCATCTATCAATAAAAAGTTGTTTCTTGTTAAAAAAAAAAAATTCAAATTATGTTCAATAGAAGTTCAACTACCTTGCATCCAAGCAAACCTATTTCTCCAAATAAATAAAAAATATATTTTCTTTAATTAACAAAGATACCTTTATTAGATCTCGCAAACTCCATTCCTAAGAAGTACTTTAATGTTCCTAGGTCCTTCATTTGAAATTCAATTGCAAAGTTTTTCTTTAAAGTGACCAATTCTACTTCATCATCACCTATAAGAATAATGTCATCTACATAGACAATCAAAATTGCAGCTTTATTATTTTCAGAACTTTTATAAAAGATGGTATGATCAGCTTGATTCTGAAGAAATCCATAGCTTGTGACTACTTTACTAAATCGTTCAAACCATGCTCTTGGTGATAAGAATTATGAGTCCATATAGAGAAAGTTTATCCAGTTATATTATGAGTTAGTGTATGAGTTCTCCTACGACTGACCATTGGGTCCCATTGGAACATATTCTATACTTGAAACGTGCTCCTAGACATGGTTTGTTATATAAAGATCATGGTCATTTTAATATTGAATGTTTTTCAGATTTTGATTAGGTAGGTTGTAAGGAAGATAGAAGATTAACGTCAGGATATTGTGTATTGGTCGGAGGTAATTTAGTTTCTTGGAAGAGTAAGAAACAAAATGTGGTGTCACGTTCAAGTGCTAAATTGGAATATAGAGCTATGACACAGTCGTTGTGTGAATTAGTGTGGATATATCAGCTTCTGACTGAATTGGGATTTGGTATCACCACTCCAATTAAATTTTGGTGTGATAATTAAGCAACTCTCCATATTGCATCTAATGCAATATTTCATGAATGAACTATACACATTAGAGTCAATTGTCATTACGTACTTGAGAAAATACAGCAAAGATTGGTGTCTACAAGATATGTGAAGACTGGAGAGCAGTTAGTAAGCATCTTCACTAAAGCATTGAATGAAACACGAATGGATTATCTCTCTAACAAGTTGGGCATGATTAACATATATGCTCCAACTTGAGAGGGAGTGTTAGAGTATTTTTTTTTTTAGTATATTTTATATTATTGTAATAATTTGTATTAGTTTGTCCTTTATAATCATTTTACATCCTTAGGTCAACATTGAATATTTGTCTATATATATTCTTCGATAATGATAATAGAATCATCTGATTCTCTCACATCTTAGTCTCTGCAATAAGAAAAATAATTCTTACCTACTTTCAAAGAATTGATACAAGGATAGACTAAATAGCAACCACAAGGAAGAATAAAAAAAAGAAAAAAAAGAAACGAGTCTATTAGAATAAGAAAACCCTTACCTATTAGAACAAGGAAACCCTAACCTTTTAGAACCTAAATGCAACTGGGAAATAAAAGAAAATAACTATATAATATGATTTAACAAATATAATTTAATATGCAGGAAATGCATAATGGTTCTTGTGTCTTTCTTATCTAGGTGTTCTTGCTCGTGAGTTATATGAACTTAAGAGAAGGGAAGCATCTGCCATCAAAATTCAAAAGAATATTCGTGGATACCTTGCTAGGAAGGCCCATATTAAAACACGGTTCTCTATTGTTGTTCTTCAGGCTGGTTTGCGAGCAATGGTTTCTCGGAGTAAATACAGACACATGAGGCAAGCTAAGGCTGCAATAGTTATTCAAGTAAGTTCATGGATGTTTATACAATTGAATCGATGTTTCAGTGCGTTTATGATTTTCATGTTTTTGAAGTCTGGTTTCTTAAGTAATTTTTTCCCTTTCTTTTTTCAAGTCCAGTCTTGTTGGCATCAGTATAGAAACTCTTCGGAGTATAAGATGATTAGAAAATCATCAACCAGTTCACAATGCAAATCTAGTACAGGAACTGATGGTGAAGGTCTTAAGAAGCACAGGATGGTAGGTAGCATTTTCCCTATAGGTATAATTACTGTCCTCTTTTCACTGTGGATATTTTAGAAAACGTTGAGAGTTGCTCTTTTGCTTAATATTTCAGTTGACTACTAGAATGTTTCCATCATAACCAGAAGTGTACCCTTTTCCAAAAAATTGTGACTTATATAACAGTAATAGTATTATTTTTCTTAGAAAATGAATATACATTTTATTCCAAATTTGCTAAACAATTTAATACTTTAGAATTCCTGTGGTTGGGTGGGATTCTCGATTTCTTCTAAATTGAGGAATCTGATGAATGAAATAAAGAATAAGGACAAGGAGTCTCGAATTATTAATGACATTTCTTCATTGGAGTAAAAGAAAGAAGTTTTAGGTATCTCCGTTGAAGAAATTGAAAAAAGTTCTCTTTAGAATGATTTGCTAAACTTATACATTGAGGAAAAAAGGATCTTGATACAAAGGTGTAAAGTTTCACGGCCGAAGGAAGGGGATGAGAAAACTAATCTCTTTTATAGATACTTGGCTGAATTTGAATTGGCTGTTGACACTTCCTATGGTTGGGCTGGATTCGCCCTATCTTCCAAGCTAAGAAACCCGGAGGTTTTTCTTAAACAGTGGCATTTGAATAATGAAAAGAAGAAAAAGGAGAAAAGAGGAACAAATCATTAATGATATCAACTCTCTCGATCTTATTGAGGAATGCTTTGGCTTATCCTCTGGTGAGCGAGAGGAACGTTGTGTCCTTCAAAACGGTCTCCTTAACATTTATATTGAGAAAGAGGGGACCTTGATTCAAAAGTGCAAAGTTCATTGGCTAAAGGAAGGAGACGAGAACACTAAATTCTTCCATCGGTATTTGGCTGCCTGGAAAAGAAAGGCTTTAATTTCTGAATTAAAGAATGACAGTGGCATTTCCCTCTTCAATCAGAGCCGAATGACCTAATTCTTGCCGTCGTTGTCCTTGGGAGTAATATTATTAAGCAGTGGAAAAAAGTGGAGCATCATGCACAGTTCACAGTTGGTACTGGAGATAGGGTTTCCTTTTGGCACCATATTTGGATAGGCAGGGAGGCTTTAAAGGTTTGTTTTCCTAAGATCTTTAAGCTTTCTCCTCTTCCTAATGCCTCTGTTTCTCAATTTTGGGACTCCATTTCGAGTGTTGGCACCTTGAGACTAGGAGATTTTTAAGACATGATGAATTTGGGGAGTTTTCAGCCTTGCTACCCATTCTTAGCTTGGCCTCGGTCAGTGACGATGTTGATAGAAGGCGCTAGTCTTTGGAACGTTCGGGGGTTTTTTCGGTAGCTTCCTTATGTAAACAACAGAATTTTACATCTTTGCCAAAGGAATTGTTCGGTGCGTTCTGGAAATCTAAATGTCCAAAGAAAGTTAATGTTCTCGTATGGATTCTTCTTTATGGCAAAGTTAATACGGTTGATGTTCTACAAAAGAAGAACCCTACAATGCTTCTTTATCCTTCCATTTACTCACTGTGTGGCAAGTCTTGTGAGTATCAGCAACATATTTTCTTCCAGTGCTCTTTTTCTGCTTCTTGCTGGAAGCTTTTCTTTGAGATTTTCGAGGTTTCTTGGGTTTTTGACTTCGAAGTTGTAAAGGCTGTTTACAAATTGTTAATTGGTCCAAGTCTTGCACCAAGGGCGGGTCTTCTTTGGCATAGCGGAGTCAAAGCTCTGCCCGACATTTGGTTTGAAAGGAATCAAAGGCTTTTCAAGGGGAAAAGAAGAGCTTCGGTGGATTCTTTCTATTTAGCCAAGTTTAAGGCTTCTCAATGGTGTGCTCTTTCCAATGTATTTGTTAACTATTCTTCAAGTATGATTTTTTCTAACCGGAAGACTTTTATAACTCCCTCTTAATTTTTGTTTCTGTTTATTGTTTTGTTTACATTTTCACTCCTTCAGGGATTCAGGGATTTGTATCTTTGAACAATTTTATGTTATTTTTTTATTAAATCAATGAAAAGTTCGTTTCTTGTTAAAAAAAAACAAAAAGAAAAGGATAGTCTGACACAAAACCCATGGACAAACCCATGAAAATGGGAGTGCAAAGAAAACGCTTGTCCATGAGAATAAGTTATTTCCAGGAAAAGTATTCAAATCTGTGTAACAAACAAGAGTTTTACTTGTCCATGCCCATTCCCACCCAATAAACCCTCCAACCAAACGGCCCCTCAGGGCGTTTATTTTATTAATAGAGTGATATTGAAGGTGAAATCTTTGGATTTTTTGAAAAGCTTTATTGTTGCAACTTTTCCCAACGTTTTTTCCCCAGTGATCTCAATTGGTGCTCAATCTCTTCAAAAAATTGATCTTGGTTGAAAGACGTTTTGAGGAAGTTGAAATCTGGCAAGCACTAGGATCTCTTGGCAAGAACAGAGCCCCAGGCCTTGATGGTTGTACAATAGAGTTCTTTATCAGATTTTGGCAGCAGTTGAAGGTTGTTTTTGTTTGTTTGTTTGAGGAATTCTTTTGTAATGGACACAGTAATGCATGCTTAAAGAGAAACGTCATTTGCCTTATTCCGAAAAAGGAGTCAGCTGCAAACGTCAAGGATTTGCGAGTCGTCAGATTCACCACTTCCATTTATAAAGTTTGCATGCTTAAAGGAAAACTTCATTTGCCTTTATCCCAAAAAAGGAGTCAGCTGCAAACATCAAGGATTTCCGGCCCATCAGTCTCACCACTTCCATTTATAATGTTTTGGCTAAAGTCCTTGCTGAATGTCTCAAAAAGATAATGTCCTCCTCTGTTTCAGTTAAACCAAATGCGTTCATTGAAAGAAGATGTATTCTAGACCCTATTTTGATAGCCAATGAAGCGATAGAAGACTATAAATCAAGAAATAAAAGTGGCTGGTTGCTCAAACTCGACATTGGAAAGGCCTTTGACAAGGTTAACTGGCTATTTTTAGAAGAGGTGCTTAAATAGAAGAAATTTGTCAGTAAGTGGATAAGATGGATTAATAAACGTGTAAGGGGCACAAAGTTATCAATAGTAAGACCTAAAGGAATAATAATAGCTTATAGAGGGCTAAGGTAAGGCGACCCTCTTTCACCTTTCTTTTTCCTTTTAGTAATCAATGTGTTTAGTAGTCCTTTGCACAACATTTACTCAAAAGGCTCATTTGAATGTCTTTTAGTTGGGAGTAAAGCTATTCATGACTCACATCTTCAATTTGCTGACTGACACCTTAATTTTTTCAAGGATGATGATGTTATCTTGTTAAATTTGACTAAATCAATCAAAGCCTTTGGATGGTTAAACGGTCTAACTGTTATCTTGTTATCTTGTTGGTTGCAAGGTCGAAACTTTCCCCCTTTTATATCTAGGCTTTCTCTTGGGTGATAACCCAAAATCTCAGGTTTGGAGATGTATCCAAAGTTTCCATGAAACTCCTTAGTTTTTTTATCACATGTGTGTCCAATTCTTTGGTAATTTTATTGGATTGTGACATTGATGCTAACAAAGCGACTAAACAGCAACTCAAAAAAATGAAAACCCACAAAACACGAGGTAAAAATAAAAGCAGAGCTAAAACTGGACTGAACTGAGGCGCAATAAACCTGAACTGGTTTGAACTAAGCCAAACTAGATGAAGCGAACGGAGTCTCATGGATTCTTATAGGATTGGCAATGAAGTCTGTAAACACTAGGATTTGAGAGAATCAAATGTCGTCTATTCTCATTATTAAAGTCTATATATATAGACAAATATACAAGGTTGACATAATCCTAGAAGAAGAAGGTAGAGGACAAATTAATACATATCAATACAAGAATATAAAAATATACTAATATATATACTCTAACACTCCCCCTCAAGTTGGTGCATATATGTTAATCATGCCAAGCTTGTTAGAGAGACAATCTATTCGTGCTCCATTCAATGCTTTAGTAAAGATATCTCCTAACTGCTCTCCAGTCTTCACATATCCTGTAGCCACCAATCTTTGCTGTATTTTCTCACGTACATAATGACAATCAACTTCAATTTGTTTGGTTCGTTCATGAAATACTAGATTAGATGCAATATGGAGAGCTGCTTGATTATCACACCAAAGTTTCATTGGAGTGGTGATGTCAAATCCCAATTGAGTCAGAAGCTGATATATCCATACTAATTCACACATCGACTGTGCCATAACTCTATATTCTGATTCAACACTCGAACACGACACCACATTTTGTTTCTTACTTTTCCTAGAAACTAAATTACCTCCAACAAATACACAATATCTTGAGGTTGATCTTCTATCTTCCCTAGAACATGCCCAATCAGCATCTGAAAAAACATTCAATATTAAGATGACCATGATTTTTATATGACAAACCACGTCCAGGAGCACCTTTCAAATAACATAGAATATGTTCCAATGCGGCCCAATGGTCCGTCGTAGGAGAACTCATAAACTGACTGGATAAGCTATGTCTGGCCTCGTAACTATAAGATAATTCAACTTCCCTACTAACCTCCTATACTTCTCAAGATCTTTCAACAACTCTCATCCCTTTGTAAGTTGTAAATTAGGTATCATTCGGGTACTACGTGGCTTAGCAGCTAACTTTCCTGTTTCAGTTAACAGATCAAGTACATATTTTCTCTGTGATAAGAGAATCCCCTTCTTGCTCCTTATTACCTCAATTCCTAAGAAGTATTTCAGCACTCCCAAATCCTTAGTATGGAATTGACTATGACGGTACCTTCAATCTAAATAAAAGTTTCCCATTAGCTTTTCCATGGAGTCAATAACTTTGGTAAGGCCTTTAAGATGGAGAAATAGTACACTAGGACGCTATTTAACACAAACTATGCCAAAGGTAACCTCCCTCACTTAGAAAGCAGCAATCCTCTCCATTTATTGAGTCTAGCTTTCATCGTTTCCACCAGAGGATCCCAGAAGCTGACCGCATGCTGATTCCTATTTTTCATCATAACAATGAATATTGTTTCCCATAAAAAAAAATGAAGTTACAGTGTACTTA